GGCGCCGCGGGGTCGTGTGTGCGTGAAGCCCGTTCACATCATCATCATCATCATCATCATCATCATCAGCATCATCATCATCATATCCATATCCGCTGCTGCTGTCTCGGCTCGCGTACTGGAAACATCAGGAGGGGAAAAACACACAGACACAATGAATCCTCGATTACCCAGAAAATATGGGAAAATATGGGAAGTGGGGGGGAAGACAAAAACCCAGAACATATGGGAAAATATGGGGAATATTTTTAGGTGTGTGTATTTATTTGTGTGTCCTGGGGCCCCTTCAACAGGTACAGCGCCGCTTGCCCGCGGCGCATGGGAAACAGGGATCGCGGCCCTCTCCCTTACCTTCTTCTACCTGCGGCAATCCTCGTAGGTTCGACTCTTCGGTCGTGAACCTGCATACACAGGGGTAGAGTGGAATGGAGAAGCGGGCTGGAGGGGGGAGGAGCTTGTGGAGTTGTCCGAGTTCTTCAACGGGAAGGACCACAACAACGACAGCGTGGCAGACTGGGGTTTCTGCCTCACGCCGCAGCCCAACTATTTCTACGCCTTTGTCGCGCCCGTGATGCAGCGCATGCGACGCCTGTGCGGCACCACCGAGGCTGGGGAGACCCCCATCTGTGACCAAGAGCTGACTGGACAGAACCTTTTTTTCGATGTCGAGACCTTCGAGCCTCTTCTGGACAATCCGGGCTTCCGCTACGCCCTCGACCTCCACGCGCGCTTCCTGCGGGCCAGCAATTGTCAGGACCAGCTCGAGTCGCTGGGTAAGTGCGACCGAAAGTCTGCCATGCAGAGCGGCCGATGTGCCGGCGTCATATCCATGCCAGGCACCATGACGAAAATGCTGATGCCCCCAGACGACCAGAATTACGCCCCCCAGCCACGCTACGCCGAGGACGGAGTCACGGTCGAGTGGGCCGTCGGCGGCGCCGAGAACGGCAGCTATTGGGGCAGGCGGGTGCGTTTCCCTGGGTCGTCGAAGGCGTACGATTCCGAGGACGGGACCCTGAAGGATCGGGGAAACGCAAGTCTCGAGTTCGCCGGAATTTGAGTTTGCCGACGTTTCTTGCGGGGCCCGTCTTGAATTTTGGCGGTCCGAGCTTCGTGGGTTGTTTGCAGCGGAGCCCGCGTCAAATTTCAGGCTGGGTCCCGGCATGCCCGCCCCGTCGGGCCAGTTCGAGTCCCCCGGATCCGAAGCTTGCGTGTCGCCGGAGGACTGCACGCCCGACTTCTGCCCAAAGGCAGTCCCGCACTCGACAATGCCCGGAGTGCTGGTCAACTATGCTCCGTTCTTTGCCGAGGGCGGCGAGGCGTATGCCCTGCGGGGCAAGACGGCGTCCACCAAGAAGGATCTCATGTTCAGTTTCTTCGAGTGGCTCGCAAATTTGCCGCCCAGTAGCGTGCCGCTGAGCGGCCTTTACCGGCGCTCACAGCTCACGCCGGAAGCGCAGGACGAGATGGTCCAGAATGGCATGCCAGAGCAGGTGGCGATTGACTTGGTTCAGCTATTGCAGTTCCTTTTCAGAGACGATGAGACAGAGGGTGCCAACAACGTTCAGGATCTGCTCGTCCTCGGCTTTGCGGAGTACATGAACGCTTTTGGCACGCGTATCTACGACGAGTTCTTGCTGCAGGCTGAAGTCTTCAATGGTTCGCTATCGGATGCGGAGTTCGAGGACAGGTATGCCGCAGTCATTTTGGCACTCAAGGGTGATTACGAACTAATCAATCATAAGTATGGCCAGGTGGCGCAACTGCAGCGTTGGCGCACCTCGCTTGGCTTCGCGGAGCTCTCCGACCAGGAGTTGTGCGGCAGATTCGCAGGGGCGAACGGGGCGAACGCCGAAGCGCTTCTTGCAACCGGCGTTGTCTGCCAGTCTCTGGTGCAGTACGTTGCCCAGCAGGTTTTCGAGATTGTCGTGGTGACAGTCGCCTGTCTGATTGCCGTTATCCTAATCATCATGGTTTGTGTGTGGCTCTTGCGCACCATCCAAACAAGCCGTCGCTTGCAAAAGGAAGCCACCCGGCTCGTCCACATGCAGGTGGTGGAGGCTGCGGGCAAGGTATCCGAGATCCAGGCGCCCTTCGTGGTGATGAGGGCCAGCGACTTTCTCAACTGCGGCCAGCTGATTGCCCACGAATCTGCGCGCGACTCTTCCAAGCTGATCAGCGTGGACAGCATCGACGGACAGATGAAGAACTTCTTGAGGCATCAGGAGGAAACAACACACAGACACAAAGAATCGCCGATTCCCAGGACGTGTGGGAACCGAGGGGCAGCGGAGGGGGAGATGAGGCTCAAGAGAGTACGGAACACATCGGGAATCGGGGATTTGTGTCTACTCGTTTGTGTGTGTGTGTGTCCCTGGGCCCCTGTAAGGAAGCACTACACCGTGTTCTTTTCCCACCAGTGGCTCAGCTGGGAGGTGCCCGACCCCAGCCAGGTGCAGTTTGCTGCGATGCACAGGGCGCTCGACGCCATCTCTGCCAGGAGTGGCCACTAGAGGGCCTCGATCCAGCATCGTCAGACTGCATCCCCATCCCCAGAAGGGAAGGAGGAGGAGGAGGAGGAGGAGGAGGAGGAGGAGGGAGAGGGGAGGAGGGAGGAGGGAGGAGGGAGAAGGGGGTGTCCTTGGCGCCACCAGCCTGCCCCCTCGAGGTGGGGAGGGCTGCCGCGACTCCTGACAGGGATGGCATCTGTCCCAACCCAGAGGGGTAGTAGGGCAGACGGCGGGGCCACGTTTTTCCCAGTGGGGATGGGGCTAGGTTTGCTCCTCTTCCTCGGCCTCCTTCTTCTCCTCCTCCTCCTCCTCCTCCTGCTCTCCCCCAGGCGATTGGGAATAGGTCTGACGATGTGCCGACCCGTATCGATGCTCCAATTTGCACGTCACAGAGGTCTCGACCTCTGCCAGGGCCGTTTGCGTTTCCCCGATCTGTGTTTGATGTGTCTGGGGCCCTTAGAAGCGGCCTCGATGGGGCCGAAGTAGGGGGAAACCGATGGGGATTGACATACCGGAGGAGGACAAGTGTTCAGATTCGCTTCGTTTCCCCCCCTTTCCTTCTCCCAGATGCAAATGAAGCTATCGGAAGAGGAGGGGGAGGGAGAAGGTGGATCTGCATAATCAGCTGCTTGATTTCTAAAACATGTTATCCGCCCATCTAGGGATCTGGCCGATCCAACGATCGAGGCAGGCGGGCCACTCGCCGCAGAGCGGGTCCACCGATTGCCGTCTTACTTGCCGTATCGTGCGTTCCTTCACGTGTTTCGTCGTCGTCGTCGTCCTCTTCCTCTTCCTCCTCCTCCTCCTCCTCCTCCTCCTCCTCTTGCTCCTCCTCCTAGCCGCCGCTCCGGCGCGAGGAGCGCGAGGGGCGGCCAGCACGCGGGGGGGAGGTTACCCGCCGCGGCGCCGCGCAGGAGTCGCTGTGGCGCGGCCCGTGGGTCAGTGGGTCTTGCGGGCGCTGGGCTTCAACCCGATGTTCAGTTCAGTGCCGTTTTTACTACATGCTCCGCGTGCGGATCATGTATTAAACATGCAGGGATTGAGTATTAAAACCAACGATGAGTTCATGCATAAATTTGTTCATACATTGATCATGTATTGAGAATCGCATGTTTTTAAACATTCTATGTGGTTAAAAACTGCCCTGTACGGGGCTGAGCATGCAGGCGATTGCAATGAGCTGCAGTAGCATGGACGTAGTTATGCTGGCAGGAGCACAGGCCTCCCATCGGAGGGTTGACGAAGCACTGCAGAGGAGGATTAGCAAGAGACTGGAGCCAGATACGGAGGCGGGCGCAGGCGAACACACCAACAAATCCACGGGGTGCGCAATAATACTTGGGGCTAAACTCAAGGAGCAACACGTGTGCCAGACATGGGCGAGCCCACCTGGAGTTGCTGGCCGCGCCCTGGCGGTTCGGGTCCGACGAGGACCCATGGGCATGGCGGCCATTGTCATGTACTTCCCGCCGCAGCCTCGCCATGCTCGACCGGTCTCAAACTACAAGGCCACGGCGCAGTTGCTGACCCGATGGTGTGAGGCGAGACTCGGTCTAGCTTTCGCCAGAGTGTCGGGCAGACACTGTTTGAATACTTTTCTGGGTGCCCGGAATTATTTCTGGGATGTGGTCCTTAAGTACGACGTTTGGTTCGGTAGGTGCTGCAGTCTCTAGACCTTCTCTTTTTCCCGCCGTTCTCGTCGTGTTGATTGATTGGTGTTGTGATGGAGTAGTGTATTTGGTTGTTCAGGCCTTGCTGGGATCAGCGCTGCGCGCTTTCCCCTGCCATGTACCCGCCCGCTGCTGCTGGCCAGCGCGTGGCTCCTGCTTGCGGGCGTTTTTTTCTCGCTTGTTCCTCTGCGGCCTCCTCTTCCTCCTCTCACCTTTCTCTCTTGCATGTCGCCGCGGTCATCTGTATGGATCGGCGAGATGGGCGCGGGAACGTGCAGTCCAACACCGCTGCTGGGCTTTTGAGCCGCAGGCTGCCCGCTATGTGCTGGCGCCCCCGGCCTGCACGGAGAGGAACACACAGCGCCTCGTCCTTCAGTGGATGTTCGCGCAGCGGACGGGGAAATGTTGGCGTGCTGAGTTTTGCCTCTAAAGCACACGGCTCCATATGAAAGTCCTTTCCAACATGAGAAGCACCCCCACCAGAGGGAGATGCCAGGCGATATCACGGGCGATCATCGTTCTGCCTTCCCCGTGCAACGATGCCCTGCCAATGCGCATTCTAGATCGGCATGCGCCCCAGCTGCGTGCTGTGGACAAAAACCAGTGGAGCACGCGGATAATCAACTGGTTTCAATGTTGTGTCCCTTTCTTATGTGTACATTCCTTTCCTCTTCTGCATCCTTCCCCTCCTTCGTCTTCTCGTGTTAAGCGGCATTGCCCGTGTCAGTATTATTTTTAGTCGTATCGTTTTTCCCCTTTCCTTCTCCCCCTCTCTCCCTCCTCCCTCTACCGTCCCCGTCCCTTCTCCTTACATGTTGCTCATGCTTGCCGCCTCCCCCCGCAAACTTGTCTTGTGGGTGGGCTGGGCGTTTCGCACGAGGCTGCCTCACCCTTCACGATCCTGAAGTTTCGAATGCGCAACGGCCACAAGGATGGAACACGTGTCATTCTCAAAAGGAGGTTTTCGATTTGGCGCCGCACGATGCATTACGGAGGTGAGGGGGTGAGATCGAAGTGGAACGGAGAGCCCCCCTACCGGGAAATCGGTTTCGGTTTCGTGTTCGTGCTTGCCGTGCGTGCGGGCGAGGCGAAGCTGCGTGGGCGGGCGAGAAGAAAGTCTCCTCCGGCTGAGGCGCGGCCAGACCAAATTATTCCTCTCTGGGGGCCGGTGCCGCGCGGTGTCCCGCCGGTGTCCCGCCTCCGGCTGAGGCGCGGCCGGACCAAATGTTTCTTTTCCCGGGGCCGGTGCCGCGCGGTGTCCCGTCGGTGTCCCGCCAGTGTCCCGTCGGTGTCCCGATGATGATGATGATGATGATGTTGATGTTGATGATGATGATGGTGATGGTGGTAATGATGATGGTGATGCTGATGATCATGAGGATGATGTTGACGATATTGATGATGATGATGATGATGATGATGATGGTGATAGTGGTGACGATGATGGTGCCCCGATGATGATGACGATGCTGTCCCGATGATGATGATGATGATGATGATGATGATGATGATGATGATGATGATGATGATGATGTTGATGATCCTGATTGTGTTGGTGATGGTGAGATGATGATGAAATGATGATGATTATGTTGATGATGACGACGGCTTCCCGATGATGATGAAGATGATGATGACGCTGTTGATGAAGGTGATGATGATGGTGTCCCGATGATGATGGTGATGTTGATGATGATGATGACGATGATGGTGTCCCGATGATGATGATGATGTTGATGATGAGGATGATGATGAGGTGATAATGATGATGATGATGATGATGATGATGATGATGATGATGATTTTGATAATGGTGGCCCGATGATGGTGATGTTGATGATGATGATGGTGTCCTGATGATGGTGATGGTGGTGATGATGGTTACGATGATGATGGTGTCCCGATGATGGTGATATCGATGACGGTGTTGCTGACGCTGATGGTGTCCCTATGATGATGGTGCTGATGACGTCGGTGATGTTGTCCATGACGATGACGACGAGATGATGACGATGATGGTGGTGTCCCCATGATGATGATGGTGCCCCGGTGAGTATGACGATGTTGATGATGACGGTGATGATGGTGCCACAATAATGATGACGGTGATGATGACGTTGATGGTGATGGTGAAGAGGTGATTATGACGATGGTGTCCCGATTATGATGAGGATGATGATGTTGATGACGTTGATGACGATGATTTTGATGATGACGACGATGATGGCGTTGATTGTGAGATCGATTGTGATATCGATGGTGATATCGATCGTGAGACCGAATGTGAGATCGATTGTGAGATCGATTGTGATATTGATAGTGAGATCGATTGTGAGTTCGATAGTCAGATCGATTGTGAGATCGATTGAATTATAGATCGAGTGATATCGATTTTCAGATCGATCGAGTGAGATCGATCGAGCGAGACCGATCGTGAGATCGATAGTGATATCGATAGTGAGACCGATCGAGTGAGACGTTGGTTCCTCCCTCCCCGAACTTCCTTATCACCCGAAGGGTGGTCGTATAGGTATACTGCAAGTGTTGCCAGGGTCGGGCACGGCTGGTTTTTGGTCGTCGTCGTCGTCATCACCCCCCTTCTCCCCCTTTCCTCCTCCTCCTCCTCGTCCTCCTCCTCCTCCTCGTCCTCCTCCTCTTCCTCCTCCTCCTCCTCCTCCCCGTCCTCCTCCTCCTCCTCCTCCTCCTCCTCCTCCTCCTCCTCCTCCTCCTCCTCCTCCTCCCTCCTCCCCCCTCCCCTCCCCCTCCCCGTCCTCCTCCTCCTCCTCCTCCTTCTCCTCCGTCTTCTCCTCCCCCTCCCCCTCCTCCTCCTCCCCCTCCCCGTCCTCCTCCTCCTCCTCCTCCTCCTCCTCCTCCTCCTCCTCATCATGGGGTGCCCACCTCAGTACCGCGCACGCGGTCGTCGCACAAGAGCTTGCAGCAGCTGCAGGGGGGGGGAGGGGGGCGGGCGGCTCCTCTGCCACAAGGGAAGTCCTCGCCTCGGCGCCGCCACCCTGCCAGCATGTGCAACATCGCCCTCTCCTCCTCTTCCTCCTCCTCCTCTCCCTCCTCCTCTTCCTCCTCCTCGCCACTCACCTGGGAACGTCACTATCCACGTCACTGATCACGGCCTGGCCGATCATGGGCCCGGGATCGCTGGGCGCCACGTGAGGGGCGGGCGACAAATGGGGGGGCAGCGAGGGCTGCAGAAAAGGGGCCCTCGAGGGCCCACCAGACAGCTTCCTGGCATCGCTCGGACGTGTGCATTTTTCCCTCGGCGAGAACCATCGAGGACCATCCTGGACCATCGAGCAACAAACAAA